CATGTGTGTGTATTTATATATACATAATAAATATACACAGTACACACATATTATGTGAACAAAAACTTTTGTTTTGGATGCGATTAATCACGATTAATCGTTTGACAGCACTAATTAAAAATATATTATTAAAAATAGATTTTTATTTTTTAATTATTATGAGATATTAATATAAATAAAAGTAGGTAATTATTAATAAAATAAATAGATTTTAATTCATATGAATAAATCTAAATTAATTTAATTTTATATTTTTATCTCTATTAATATTCTATAATTTTTAAATTATTAAGTTATTATTACTAATGATACCTATGTTCTTAAGCACATGTATGAGCACATGTCTGTCTTCAGGTGAGCAACAGCGCCACACAATCCACTGACATCCACTACTGGATAGGCAACGCATCCTCTCAGGACGAGCAGGGAGCGGCAGCCGTCTATGTGACCCAACTGGATGGGTGTCTCGGCGGCAGTCCGGTTCAATACCGGGAGGTCCAGGGATGTGAATCAGCTAAATTCAAAAGCTACTTCAAGAATGGCCTCATGTGAGTGAAATAAAAACATTTTGGCTTGCTCCTACCAATTCCATGACAGTATGATTATGTCTACACTTTCCTGTTTCCTGTAGATATAAAAAAGGAGGTGTGGGATCAGGATTCACACATGTGGAGGCCAATGTGTATAACATTCAGCGCCTGCTCCACGTCAAAGGGACCAAACATGTGACTGCAAGAGAGGTGAACTGCTGCAGCAGACACATCGAATCACAATACTACAATAGTGAAGGCTCACTTCATGAATATTAAATAGTTGATACTTGCTTGGTAATCTTACAGGAGCATACAATCACCAACCCTAATTAATATTAATGAGCCACACCTTCATAGTTGAATATGTTAATGAGTGCGTTTTCAGTGAGAGCTGGAGATGTGTGACAGCGATAAAGGCAACTACTGTACATATTTTCGTGTGAGAAAAAAGCTTATTATTATTAGTATTATTATATTATAGAATTATAAAATAGTAATATTATAATATTTAAAGGGGTCATATGATGCTGCTAAAAAGAACATTATTTGGTGTATTTGGTGTAATGAAATGTGTTTATGCGGTTTAAAGTTAAAAAAACACATTATTTTCCACATACTGTACATTATTGTTTCTCCTCTATGCCCCGCCTTTTTGAAACGCGTCGATTTTTACAAAGGGGGTGACATCTAGTGGATTAGACTAGTAATAAGATTAACGTAAATCTTATGTTCAATGTTTGCGGAAATAAATATTGAAAAAAATCGATTCGTGGCCTTTGAGAATCGATATTGAATCGACCACATTTTAAAAAACGATATATCGAAAAATCGATTTTTTTTTTTGCCCAGCCCTAGAACACAGACAGACAAACTTATGCTAGAGCTGGGTTATAAATGTGGTCAAAGCACATTAGAAGATTTGCTATGCAATTCACTTTGTGTGAACAGATATTTATATTGCAGGCGAAGGGCCAACATTAAGAGGATCAGTAATGAAGCTGTCAGACTGTAAATTATTAAATGTAATGTGCAAGAAGGTCAAGAATCTTGTCTCTGCATCACTGCTGTCCTCATGTCAACTGATGTTTCTCTATTACATGGACTGGGTCCTTGAAAGAATCAGGAAGTTAAATATTGTACACCCCACAAATTATTCAGGACTACTGTCAAGAATTAACAGGACTTTTTCAGTAATGTCTGATTTCTTCCCAGCACTGTTTGGGAGAATTTCAGTGGGGCTTTGTGTGTGTGTGTTTGTGTGTGTCTGCAGGTGGAGGTTTCCTGGAGCAGTTTTAATCTAGGGGACATATTCCTGCTGGACTTGGGAAAAGCAATAATACAATGGAATGGTCCTCAAAGCAACAGACAAGAAAAATTAAAGGTAATTGAAGAAATGGGGGAAGATACTGTGCTGGATATCAAATAAAATGATGTATGGATTTATATTGTGTTCCTGTCCTCTCCTGTCTTTCTTAGGCCGTTCTGCTGGCTCAGGACATCAGGGACCGGGAGCGTGGAGGCCGGGCTCAGATTGCTGTAATTGAGGGTGGGCAGGAGGAAGCCTCTCCTGAGCTGATGAAGATCATGATATCTGTTTTAGGTCAGAGGACTGGACACCTGAAAGAGCCAATCTCTGATGATAAACCAGACCAAAACCAGATCTCCGACGTCAAACTGTACCAGTATGAACACTTTAATCTGTTTGCCATTAAAAAGTCTTATTCAGGATGACATTGTCTATCTATCTATCTATCTATCTATCTATCTGTCTGACTGTCTGTCTGTCTGTCTGTCTGTCTGTCTGACTGTTTATCTATCTGTCTGTCTGACTGTCTGTCTGAATGTTTATCTGTCTGTCTGTCTGTCTGAATGTTTATCTATCTGTCTGTCTGTCTGACTGTTTATCTATCTGTCTGTCTGACTGTTTATCTATATGTCTGTCTGTCTGTCTGACTGTTTATCTATCTGTCTGTCTGACTGTTTATCTATCTATCTGTCTGTCTGTCTGACTGTTTATCTATCTGTCTGTCTGACTGTCTGTTTGACTGTTTATCTATGTGTCTGTCTGTCTGAATGTTTATCTATCTGTCTGTCTGTCTGACTGTTTATCTATCTGTCCGTCTGTCTGTATGTCTGTCTGTCTGTTTGACTGTTTATCTATCTGTCTGTCTGTCTGACTGTTTATCTATCTGTCTGTCTGTCTGACTGTTTATCTATCTGTCTGTCTGTCTGACTGTTTATCTATCTGTCTGTCTGTCTGACTGTTTATCTATCTGTCTGTCTGTCTGACTGTTTATCTATCTGTCTGTCTGTCTGACTGTTTATCTATCTGTCTGTCTGTCTGACTGTTTATCTATCTGTCTGTCTGTCTGACTGTTTATCTATCTGTCTGTCTGTCTGACTGTTTATCTATCTGTCTGTCTGTCTGACTGTTTATCTATCTGTCTGTCTGTCTGACTGTTTATCTATCTGTCTGTCTGTCTGACTGTTTATCTATCTGTCTGTCTGTCTGACTGTTTATCTATCTGTCTGTCTGTCTGACTGTTTATCTATCTGTCTGTCTGTCTGACTGTTTATCTATCTGTCTGTCTGTCTGACTGTTTATCTATCTGTCTGTCTGTCTGACTGTTTATCTATCTGTCTGTCTGTCTGACTGTTTATCTATCTGTCTGTCTGTCTGACTGTTTATCTATCTGTCTGTCTGTCTGACTGTTTATCTATCTGTCTGTCTGTCTGACTGTTTATCTATCTGTCCGTCTGTCTGTATGTCTGTCTGTCTGTTTGACTGTTTATCTATCTGTCTGTCTGTCTGACTGTTTATCTATCTGTCCGTCTGTCTGTATGTCTGTCTGTCTGTTTGACTGTTTATCTATCTGTCTGTCTGTCTGAATGTTTATCTATCTGTCTGTCTGTCTGTCTGACTGTTTATCTATCTGTCCGTCTGTCTGTATGTCTGTCTGTCTGTCTGTCTGTCTTGTCCGTCCGTCCGTCCATCCGTCACCTTTTTTATTGCTCTATCATTTTATTGTTGTGCCTGTCTGTCTTTCTGTTGTCTATCGTTTTATCTTTTTCTGCCTGTCTATCATTCTATCTATCATTCTGTTTTCATTTTATTTATTGTTTTATCATTCTGTCTGTCTGTCTATCACTCTATCTGTCGTTCTATGTATTGTTTTATTATTTTGTCTGTCTAGTTCTGTCTAGAAGTTCTATCTATACTTCTATCTATTGTTTTATTTTTATGTCTGTCTGTCTATCATACTATCTATTGTTATTTCGTTTTATCTTTTTATTGTTATGTCTGTCTGTTTGTCTGTGCTATCTAGCTATCTCTCTCACTCTTTCATGATTATTTGATATTTCTAATATTGATAACTGATAATTCAGAACTAACATCTAATAAAATGTCCTTAATTAGCATTCTGTTATTCTCAGTGTGTCTGATGCCAGTGGTCAGCTGTTGGTACAGGAAGTGGCTACCAGTCCACTGACCCAGGATTTGCTGAGTTCCACTGTGAGAGACATGATGTCTACCTAAACACCCACAGTATCATTATATGATGCACAGCTATCTGTGGATTAATCTTTGATGTATGTTTTGTTTGCAGGATTGCTATATTTTAGATCAAGGTGGCAGCTCAGTAATGGTCTGGAAAGGAAAAGCAGCATCAGATGAAGAGAGACACTCAGCACTGAGTCGGGCGGTTGTAAGCATCTGTGTTTGCATAGTATTATTCTGCAAAGTAGTATATTTATTTAATATCACTTCTCTATTGTGTCATAATTGGTGCACACAAATATTCATCCCTCAGGGCTTTATAAAAGTGAAGAACTATCCATCCAACACGAAAGTGGAGGTTATGAGTGAAGGAGGAGAATCTGCCATGTTTAAACATCTCTTCAAGTCCTGGAAAGAAAAAGGTCAAGCTCAAGGACTGGGAAAGACGCACTCAGTAGGAAAGATAGGTGATTCATCATTCAGCATTATTTCTCACGTGAGGGTGTAGATGTTTCAGCATTGTCATGTTAGTATATGCATCATGATTGATTGTAAACACACCTGTTATTGCAGCTAAAGTGGATCAGGTGAAGTTTGACGTCATGGAGCTTCACGCTCAACCAAAGCTGGCTGCTCAGGAGCGGATGGTGGACGACGCCTCAGGACATGTTCAGGTCTAATAAAATAATATAATAGCTGAACTCAAAAGTTTGGGATTGTTACCACTCCACAACAGACAAATGTCTGCTCTCTTTTGTGTTCAGGTTTGGCGCATTGAGAATCTTGAACTGAAGGAGGTAAACCCAAGCACATATGGACATTTCTATGGAGGAGACTGTTATCTAGTGTTGTACACCTACAACAGAGCCAACAAACCACAGTACATCCTCTACATGTGGCAGGTGAGGAGCATAACATGCATACACTATCTCCAACACAATATACACTGAAATTAAGTTAATTCATGTCATAATATGTGGAGAAAACATATAATAGTCTGCAGAGAATCACAGTTACAGATCCAGTGGCCCACAATAAGTACTTTAGGACCATAAATTCACACAAATTAATTTAATTCTACTAGATAACAAAATATGAAAAAATTGTCAACCATAAACAAATAATGCTAGATATTTTCTAAAAGCTACCTTCCCTTCTAAGAGTTATTTTGCAGTGATTTTGAAGTTTGGATGTTCTCCACAAAATACTTTTTTTGTCGGCTTTGTTTTGTTTCGTTTTGTTTTGTTTTGTTTTGTAGAAAGGTTTGCTATAAAACTGTTTGTGCTCAATGTTGGGGAAAGTTACTTTTAAAAGTAATGCATTACAATATTGCATTACTCCATAAAAATGTAACTAATTGTGTTACTTAGTTACTTTTTATGGAATGTAATGCATTGTTACTTTTGCGTTACCTTTTGTAACCTGGGGCTCGTTCTTCGTACGTCGCTAACTCAGTTAGCTGGATTTGATTGTTGACGATTTGGCGTGATCTTGGATTGTTTGGTTCTTCGAAGCTCATCCCGGAGTTGCTGTCATAGCAACAGGTCCGTAAACTTAAACCTGCTCGGGAGCAGGCTTATTTCATGTAAACAGGATTAGATTGCATCCTTTTAAGCAGAATTGATACTTAAAACCTGTCCTCTACCACCGATTTAAAGATAATATAATAATGTTGTGTAGTCTTTAATACTATAGACAGTCAGTTTTACTCACTGAAATATTTATTTGTCATAAAATTATAATTTAGTATTCGAGTCTTACACGCATGCTATACAGATAATGTTGAGTCGTGCATTAATTTGAGTGGTGACAGCTATTATGGGAGTGGCTTGGTGGAGCGCAGGAGATGCAGATAACATGATCTTGACTCTTAAGAAACTTTAATTAATGCTGTCACGTAACAAATGTGTTCAAATATAAAATTAAATGAATTGCTAATTACTACATTGAAATAAAAATGTAAAGCCTGTACAAATATTAGAAATCGTGAATATAAATAATTGGGAATAATGTAAAAAATTAAATAAAAACATTTATCTATTATAACATTTATGTAGTTTTGTTCGCTTGGCTGTTTCCTTATAAAAGTCCAGAAATTGGTCAAGTTTTTCGTCAGGTGTCTTTTTTAATTATATGATGTCATTACGTTGCTGTCTTGCCGCCAGCCAATCGCTGCATTGCTGATCGTGGTTTCGAGTATCGATACATAGCCCCTTTTAAACCAACCCATGAATGCGCAATTATCTCAGATAACTCAATCCAGCCATACTAATCATCAACAACAGGTGCGTTCGAAGAACCGAATTAGCCAGATCCTGATTAGCGCGATTATATCATCTTGGATGTGACATTTAATCTCGGATGTAATAAGCGACGTACGAAGAACGGACTCCTGGGCTGGGCTTGCTTATTTGTTTTTTAATAACCAAAAAACAAAAATTATATTTTTGGCAACTGTAAAGGCCCTTTCACATCAAAAGTGAAATTGATAAGTCTCAGGCTAAAGGAAGTGCCTCAGCCTTTGCACCTCACTCCCAATTTCTCTCAACACAGGAACAGCAGAGGTGTAAGTGAATAAATGAGAAATCAAAGTAACTTGCGTTAGTAAATCAGATATTTCATTGTAAATTTAAAAGTAATGCATTAATTTAATAGTTAATTGAAAAAAGTAATCTAAGTACATAACACGCGTTAGTTGTAATGCATTACCCCACACTGTTTGTGCTGTATTTATTTAAAATAAATGTCACCTTTAATATTTGTTATATAATGACATTCATTTAAGTGTGACATAAGTGGAGCTACTGTATACGTGACCCTGGACCACAAAACCAGTCTTAAGTCGCTGGGGTATATTTGTAGCAATAGTCAAAAATACATTGTATGGGTCAAAATTATCGATTTTTCTTTTATGCCAAAAATCATTAGGACATTAAGTAAAGATCATGTTCCATAAAGATATTTTGTAAATTTCCTACTGTAAATATATCAACTACATTTTTGATTAGTAATGTGCATTGCTAAGAACTTCATTTGGACAACTTTAAAGGTGATTTTCTCAATATTTAGATTTTTTTGCACCCTCAGATTCCAGATTTTCAAATAGTTGTATCTCGGCCAAATATTGTCCTATCATAACAAACCATACATCAATGGAAAGCTTATTTATTCAGCTTGGTGTATAAATCTCAATTTCAAAAAATTTACCCTTATGACTGGTTTTGTGGTCCAGGGTCACATATAAATTAGATTATATAGCTACAGTACAGAATTAACAATGCAGCATTTCTAATATTTGAACTAGGGCTGCACGATAAATCGCATGCGATATTTAACGCCCATCACCTGCGGGCTTTCACATGAAGCAGCATTAACTATCGCATGCGATTTATCGTGCAGCCCTAATTTGAACTCTACACAAATATTGTGTAGATATATTCACATGTATTGAGCAGAAAAGCTATAAATACACAATATGTTACAATCTGGATGTACACATTGGAGATCCTATGACATGAAGCATGTGTTCTCCAGGGTCGCCACGCTACACAGGATGAGGTGACGGCATGTGCTTATCAGGCGGTGAATTTGGATAACAAATACAATGGAGCCCCAACACAGGTCAGAGTGGTCATGGGAAAAGAGCCCAGACACTTCCTGGCCATCTTTAAGGGCAGACTCATCATTTTTGAGGTGATTGTGCCTTCATTCCTATGGAGCATATAACTCTTAAATTGTAAATTATTTTATGATCTGAATTATTTACCACCTTCAGGTAACCAAATAGTTATTTATTTACTTACTTACACTGTAAAAGAATATGTCAATATGATGTCTTGCCTCTTTTGGAGTATTATATGAGTTTACTTTTTCTTTAAGTATGCTTAAGTTAGCTTTTCATTGACATGTTGATTGTTTCTTAGGGTGGGACCGGTTTTTAGAACTATATCTTTATCGTTATCTTTATAGTTGTCGTGCTTGGTGTGAACGGGCCTTTAGAATATATAAATATACGCTAATTAATTAAATATAATAATTAAATCTGAGAATCATAAAATTATTGAAATAAATACATATATAATTGGTTGAATTAAATAAATATAGACTAGAACTAAAATGTATAACATTAAAACAAGCTAAACATAACAATTTGGCTAAAATGTGTTGTAATAAATATTCACTACTGCTCAAAAGTTTGGAATATTTAAGATTTTTGATTTTAAAAAGAAGTGCCTTATGATAATAAAGGCTGCAATTATTTGATCAAAAAGACAGTAAATATTTATAATGATATTATTATGAAATATGATTACAATTTAAAAGAATCTCATGTATTTATAAAGCTGAATTTTCAGCGATCATCACTCCAGTCTTCAGTGTGACATGATCCTTCAGAAATCATTCTAATATGCTATTTGGTGCTAAATGATTAATTATTATTGATGCTCATTGCTCAATTATTAATAATGGTTCTTAGCTTAAACCATTTTGCTACTTTGCTAAAAATGTTTTTCAATGTATTTTTGATGAGTGAACAGTATTTATTTGAAACAGAAATCTTTACTTAATATTATACACTGTCATTTTTGATCAATTTAATGCATCTTTACTGTATAAAAGTTTTTTTAAATTTTTTTTATCTTACTTATGGCAAACATGGTAATGCATCATGTTGAAGAACTGTTTTCAACATTGATAATAATAAATGTTTCTTGAGCACCAAATCACTGAGCAAGTGAGCATAAGAAACTTCTATCAAAAAAAATAAAAAATGTAACGTAACTATTCCAAACTTTTGACCACTAATTTATTAATCATAAAAAATATACTTTGTTATATTTTTACATCTCTCTCTCTCTCTCTTTCTATTTGTGTGTTTCTGTTTCTCACAGGGCTGCAGTGGAGACGAGAGGGAGATGGGAAAAGCCGTAGCTGATTTGCTTTCTGAGCAGGACAAGCAGATTGTGATGGAAGGACAGGAACCAGCTGCCTTCTGGGTGGCTTTGGGAGGGAAAGCTCCATACGCCAGTGACAAGAGGTACAACCATAAAAACAGATAAAGATGAGCTCATACTTCAAATCTAGAGTACAGTCAGTCATTTCCACTGACTTCCTCTGTGTCGCCATTAGACTGGAGAAAGAAGTGGCACTTCACGAACCTCGTCTGTTTGAATGCTCCAATCAGACGGGCCGATTCCTTATGACAGAAGTGGCTGACTTCGCTCAGGATGACCTGGACGAGGATGATGTCATGCTTCTGGACACCTGGGAGGAGGTGGGCTGTGTGAGGTCATGCTGTCGGCTTCTTTTGCATGAGGCTGCGGTGAAATGCCGGTGTCGTTCTGGGTTATGCAAAATATGCAGAGAGAAATAGTGTCAAACAACAATTCTGCTAGTAGTTTTGTGTATTGAGTTACTCAAACCCAGGGGTTTTCAAACTGGCAACCAAATAAATTACAAAGAGAAAGAAAAAGAGTGTGGGAGGGGTCAAAATTGGGGGTTGGTGGCATTAAAAAGTTAGAAAGCTCCTGCTCTTATATGTCAATCTCCTAAACCCCTCTTCGTCCTCCTCCCTCAGATTTTCCTTTGGATTGGCAACTCAGCCAACCAGTATGAGACTCAGGAGTCCTATAGCGGTGCAGTGGACTATCTTAAAACCCACCCAGCCGGACGGGACCCTGGGACACCCATCACCACTGTTAAACAAGGCTATGAGCCGCCCACCTTCACCGGCTGGTTTAATGCTTGGGATGCTCATAAGTGGAGCGTGAGTCCAGCAGGGGGCAGTAATGCGCAACAAATTCACTAACAAACTAACTGAATCTTGAGAAGTTCAGTCCACATAATCATTTGTTGATTCTCATCTAATAATACATCCTCAACATGAAAGCAAAATTGACCATTTTCCTGATCTTATTTTGCATGATTCTTCATTGTTTTTCCAAAAAATATTTTTATTTATAAGTTTAAATTATTATAATTTATTTATAAAAGTTTAAATATTTTATTCAATATTTTATTATTTATAAGTTTATATATTTATTTATTATTTATTTATACGTTTAAATGTCGTCTTTTAATTTCCTCTCAAAAACATAATAATAATACAGATTTTCTCTAAAATATTGACAAAAATGTATGGAAGCTTGTTTTCTCCATGGGGTAAATAAAAAAAGGTCATTGCAATTTTTCTCTTACATTTCAGAATTTTTTTTTCTCAATTATAAATTTATATCTCAGAATTTAGATTTTTATGTTGTAATTCTGAGATTTAAAATTAGAACTGTGCAAGATACAAAGTCAGAAATGTGAGATCAGAATTAGTCTTCTTACTTTCTCGTAAATTCAGAGTTTACACCTCACAACACTGACCTTATTTTCTTTGAATTCTGACTTTTCATCTTGCAATAGCTTTATTTTTTTATCCTCTGGTGGAAACAAGCTTCCATAATAATTACCACAAAAAACAAGGTTGAACAAATGTATTTCATATTCAGACCACGCACATTTTCCCCTGATGCAAAGAATCAGGTCCCTCCTACTTTTTACTCATTGAATATTTAAATATTTCATATCATGAAAGTAAAGCTGGTTACCAGTGCCTTTTCATCCTGACTTTAAATACTTTTTATGTCCACCATCACACCACATAATGAATTAATGTTACACAAGAGACACTTTTTCAGTTTCACTCTATATTCTAGGGAGGCCTTTCATATGAGGAGATGAAAAGCAAGCTGGGTGATATTTCGCAAACCACTGTGGTAAAAAGCTTTAACCATACTGATTAAATGCTTGTCCTGATTCATTTACATTGATCAATCTAATGTGATCAAATTGATTATCTAATTACATTTAGATGTCGATATGATCTACACACCTGTGTGCAAATCTAAATATGAAATCAACCTCATTTCCTGTAGAATGTCAACAGCACAAACCTGAATAAGAAGACAGGAGGAGGTGGCGGGAGCTACAGCGCTCCTGGAGGTCCAGGAAATATAAAGTCTCATAATCAGAGGATGTCCTCCTCCATCTCCAATGCATATGTAGACCAGTCTCCCAGCAGAGCAAAGCCTTCTGGGATGCTTCATTCCGAGCAGCTAGTTAAAACTCCTCAACATCAGCTGCCTCAAGGAGTGGACCCTGAAAAACGAGAGGTGGGTACCGAGACCTTTAGTATGGAAGCCTCTTTCTGTGATGAGATCAAAAATAAAAAAAGGTAATTGTGACTCAATTTGTAGCTAATTTATAGCTCACAGTTCTGAATGTTTTTCTCACAATTCTGAATTATTATTATTTTTATTTTTTTTACTTTTTATCTCACATATCTGACTATTTTTCTCTCAATTGTGAGTTTATATTAAAGTCAGAATTGTGAGTTTATATCTAGCAATTCTGACTGTTTTTCTCAGAACTGTGAGATATTAGCGCAGAATTGCAAGAATAAATATCACAATTGTGAGCTAAAAAGTTGCAAACTTTTTACATTTTTTAATCCTGTGGAAGAAACAAGCTTCCTTCCATACTATTGAGTTGGTCTTAAAAAATATATATTAGAAATATATTTTGAAGGTTATTATCTGGTCATCTTTATTTCAGGAATATTTGACTGATGCAGAATTTGAGACTCTCCTCGGCTGCACCCGTGACAATTTCCAGCGGCTGCCTAAATGGCGTCAGAACGACCTTAAAAAGAAGGCAGGACTGTTTTGAGTTGGTTTTGCTATAATGAGATACAGTCTGATCTTCAGACCTGATTATTGTGCTTCATGTGTATTTTGGGCTAGAAGATGGTCACCTATAAAATGTTATCGATTTATTTATTCATCAAATAAATAAATGTTTCGACTCAAAAGCTGACATGACCTAATAGAAATGCTTTGTAAATATCCTACATACAGTAGAACATCAAAATTATCCCACCAAAATAACTATATCAGTCGCATACAGTAGAACATGACTTTTAGTGCTAATAAAAACACAATGTATGCCAAGAAATGTTTCTGAGATGTTTAATTCAGTTTGAATGAATGCACTAGTTGAATGCCACAGCATTTTATAGAGTCAGTAAAACCAGTTCTTTCCTGTTAGGAGGATGTCAGAACAGGACATCAGAAACAGATGATGTTATGGCTCAATATTGCTGAAGTAGAAGGTAACAGCCTGTGTAACAACTTTCCTTTAAGGCACATTAGATAAGTTAAGAACAACATAAAAATAGAAATATTTCTACAAAAGGAGCAGATCAAAGCAGCAATACCTTATACCAACAACAGCAATGAATACAAAACAAACACCTTAAAAATAGAAAGCACAGCTACTGTTTGTAAATGTATAACTTTTCCTTTCTTTTACGTCATACACATTTGTAGTGCAACACTTTTACTGATAACTCAATGCACGCCTACTGTTCAGATTCTTATATAATGCGATTATTATTGATAGCTGAACATGTTTATCAGAAAATAATGGATAGCATGTACAGTATTGGTAATATGGGGTAAACGGTTCACTGTCCATCATTTGTTCATATAAAGAACAACTGAGCATAAGCCAACTTAAGTCACTGGAACTAGCAAATATCAAACAATATTACTCCAGTTCAACTCCTCTCTCACAACACTGAACAAAAGGAGGGTATTGTTAAGATGAAATCTCCTGTTTAACCAAGATATAATTGCGACTAAGATGAAGACTTCATGGGAATGTCTAGACAAGAACACTTTCACTGACAATCAGAAACTATATACAAACACTGTTTAAATACTCTGTTAATGTAAAAAGGCATCAGTGTAGTATATTTTTAAATATACATTTTTTTAACATTAAAATAGAAAACTGTTAGGTAAAACATTCTCCAATTACAAATCTAAACTGATTTAGACAGGAATGACGATGGAATTCTTAAAATGGAGAGAGAAAATGTGTTTTCTGAAAGTACTCTAGTGCTGTCAAATCGATTAATTGCGATTAATCACATCCAAATTAAAAGTTAGTGTTTATATAATATATGTGTGTGTGCTGTGTATATTTATATGTATATATAAATACACATACGTACATGTATATATTACGAAATAAATTACTCTTAATGGAAAGTAATGCGTTACGTTGCTTTTTGTCACCTGGGCTAGGCTTGCTTATTTGTTTATTAACAACAAAAACCCCTAAAGTTATATTTCTGGCAAATGTAAAGACCCTTTTACACCAAAAGTGAAATGAATAAGCCTCAGGCTGAAGGAAGTGCCTCTGAACTTCACTCCCAGTTTTTCTCAACACCGGAACAGTAGAGGTGTCAGTGAATAAATTGGGAAACAAAGTAACTGGCGACTGGCGTTACTTACATATTTGAAAAATATATTTTCTTGTAAATTTAAAAGTAATGCATTGCTTTACTAGTAACTTGAAAAAAAGTCATCTGATTATGTAACTTGCATGACTTGTAATGCATTACCCCCAACACTTGTAAACACCAACTTTTATTTTGGATACGATTAATCGCAATTAATCGATTTGACAGCACTAGAAAGTACTACTCTAACTGGTAGCCAAAAAATCTTAAAATTTAAATTAACTTTAAATAAAATATATCATATAAAATTTTTTTATTTAAACAGTATTTGTTTAAATGTATTCAATTTGCATGCTATGGAAAAAAAAATCAACAAAAGTGAAATGAATAAGCCTCAGGCTGAAGGAAGTGCCTCTGAACTTCACTCCCAGTTTTTCTCAACACCGGAACAGTAGAGGTGTCAGTGAATAAATTGGGAAACAAAGTAACTGGCGACTGGCGTTACTTACATATTTGAAAAATATATTTTCTTGTAAATTTAAAAGTAATGCGTTGCTTTACTAGTAACTTGAAAACAAGTCATCTGATTATGTAACTTGCGTTACTTGTAATGCATTACCCCCAACACTTGTAAACACCAACTTTTATTTTGGATACGATTAATCGCAATTAATCGATTTGACAGCACTAGAAAGTACTACTCTAACTGGTAGCCAAAAAATCTTAAAATTTAAATTAACTTTAAATAAAATATATCATATAAAATTTTTTTATTTAAACAGTATTTGTTTAAATGTATTCAATTTGCATGCTATGGAAAAAAAAATCAAAGACAAAGAATGTGTCGAATTTTTGTAATGTCTTTTTTTTACCCCACTTGTTTTTCTAAACTGAACCGCATGCACTAATTCCATGAAGCATTTTAAGGTACACCTCTGAACTCAAATGGTAAGGAGGAAAGGTCCAAATCTTATCCTTAAAAGTGTTTGCAGAGGACAGTTTAGTTGATTGTCTTGTTCAGTGATCTGCACACTTTGACATTGCGATGACTGAGGGGAATGTTGGAGTTTATTAGGCATCAAGAGCCATGATGTGTACAAAGAGTCCCGCTGAAGGAATGAGATTTCCTCTCTTCGTGAGCAGAGGCACATGGCGGTATCCTGAAGACAGAAGACAGGACTTATGGTGAGCAAACTCATAATAACTGCACAACAATTTCTCGCTTATTTTCACTAGCTCACCATTCTGCATGCTGGTGAAGGGCAGAGTGTACAGGCCAACCAGGTCATTAGGGGAAGCAGCGTCGTAGTCCTCCACCACAAACCGCACCAAAGCCAGTTCCGGCACGTGAATAGTGAACTGGAATTTTGTGTTCCACACAGGATTGAAACCTGTAACAAAAAACACTTCAGTGACCTACACTTTGGTAAAAAGCATCTGTTAAATGCGTAAGTGTAAATGGACTGTTGACACTTGCCATTGTTGTCAATGTGGTGTGTCTGTTTGCTGGCGTTGTCGTCGGGCACACCGTAGATCTCCACCCTGACCTGAGGGTCCACGATGGACTTCTGCTTGTCTTTATTGATCTTAGGCAGCTGCTGGGCTGATATGATCTGAACAGACACATACAAGAATTGGTCGTTGTTTGGATAGGTTTGCATTTGGTTTAGGGATGAATGATATATCAGTGCCATAATTTAATAACACTGTTAAATGTCTTGATCAAACCTCAAAATTTATATTTATTTTTATTATATTTATTATATTGAATATTATAATGTTGTGATGCCTAAACTCACTTGTTACAATTAAAACAATTGGATTTCAGCTTTAATTAAATTTAATTTAATTAATTTAATTAAAATATTTTATTTTTAATGTACTCATTCATTTATTTCATTTATTGTATCAGCCAGAATAACATTGTTAAATATAATCATTAGCAAACCTCAAAATGAATATTTATTTTTCAGAATGTATATTATAATGTTATGATGCCTAAATTCACTTGTAGCATTTAAAACGATTAGATTTTAGATTTTAGTGATTCATTTTTAATTAAAAAATTTAAAATAAAATAAGATATATTTACTATGTTTTAAAAATTATTTAAAATGTATATATATATATATATATATATATATATATAAACAGATTTTATTTTTAATGTACTCATTAATTTATTTTATTTATTGAATCAGCCAGAATAACACTGTTAAACGTAATCATTAGAAAACCTCAAAATCAATATTTATTTTTCATAATTTATATTATAATGTTGTGATGCCTAAATTCACTTGTAGCATTTAAAATGATTAGATTTAGATTTTACCCTTTAGTAATTAATGTTTCATTAAAAAATAAAAAAGATGTATTTATGTTTTAATAAATAAAAAAATAATCAAAAACAATTCATAATGTATATTATAATGTTGTAATGCCTAAATTCACTCGTGGCATTTAAAAATGAATGGATTTGAGCTTTTAGTGATTAATTTTGAAAGAAAAATAAAGAAATAAAAAGATATATTCATTATTCATTTTTATTAATTTAATGTACTTATTAATTTCTTTTTTATTTATTGTATCAGGCAGAATTTGAATTTATATTCATCCTAATTTTTTTTTTTTTTTATTATTATTATCTCACCATGACATGCAAGGTCTTTTTCTTCAGCCACGGGCCTATTCTGAGGTTCTTGGGGTCAAATTGTGAGGCAGGGTCCCTCTGAAACTCTGGCTTAAGTATATAGCCACACTTGCCATTAGGTAGAAAGCGGGCCTGATTCAGATCCATCTCCTTACCAGGAGTCTGGAAGTTTAGAGCCACTATAGACAATTTGAGGGATAAAAACATATTAAGTGGTGTATGGAAGCACATGTAGATTATAAACAGGCTTTCTGAACTGCATCAGACTCATATTATCTCATATCGCAAGTGCTTTGCACCTATTTGGCAGCCGGCGTTCCACAGTGGCACCGGATTGTAGTTGGATGAATCGGTTCTGGAGCCGGCTGGGTAGATTCTGCTCAGATTATCCATGTTGTGATGAATAAATGGCGTAGCTTCAAGACATCACCAAAATGCGCTATTAGAGTATATCTGGCAACATCACTCATATTTTCACATCACTTTCTTTTCTTTTCTTTTTAGTTTGGGGCCCTATTGAGTGCTGCAGTTATGACATATTCTTGTAAGGCCAACCTGGAAGTTAGCAACACCCTGGTTTACCTGAGTTTTCTGCCAGGTTCATTGCTTTGCTCTCCTTGAAGGAGGCCATTTCATAGAAAGCGTGGTAATCTCTTGAATGCTCGAAGTTGCTGAAATGGACACTCTTGCAGTAGATGACCAGGTCTGACAGCTCCTTAGCCAGCTTGATCTTTTTGGAACTCTACAACATCATCAAAAAGAATAACTTCAGTTCACACATGCAATGATGAAGGGATGTCAAATAAGCAGAACAAATCTGTTGTCTGTCTCATGATTTGAATGGGGTTTTTGTGGGAATGTCTGACAGCTGAGTGTGCCGATTTGAACTCAACCTTATCTACCGCAGCTTTGTGTATGCAAATAAACTCCACGAACCTAAGTG